TTCATTAAGTTATTAGAAAAAGAAGACGATTCATTGTACCATTCTCGACTCTTAATCCTTGTCTGAATTCAGTTTCCCCCACCCCTCCCGCGCGAAGCGCGAAAGCTTTGACGTTTCATTAAAATTATTTAAGAAAGAAGATGATTCACTGTACCGTTCTCGTCTCTTAATCCTTGTCTCAATTAAGTCCCCCCCCCCCCCCCCTTCTCCTGCGCGAAGCGCGGAAGCTTTGACATTTCATTAAATTATTAGAGGAAGAAGACGATTCGTTGTACCGTTTTCGACTCTTAATCCTTGTCTGAATTTCAAAACTGTTTTATTTGCTTCGTTTTCCTTCTACATCCTCTTCCTTTTCTCTCCTCTCTTTTTTTGGCCGCGTTTTTGTTGTTTTTTTTTTTGGGGGGGACGCCCCCAGCGCCCCCCTAGCTACGCGCCTGCGGTCAGATGAACATATTTTGATACCTTGTCTGCCTCTAGAAAGGCAATACATTACGGTCAGATAAGCATTCAGGGGCCGCCTTAGGGCCCCTGGTGGGGTCGAGGGTACGGAAATCCCGAAAAAAGTGTGTGTGTGGGGGGGGGGGGGGGAGAGCTGGAGGCTCGTTTTGCGGGCCCTGACATGTAGACATCTCAAGAAGCATACTTCTTGCCTGGTTGTAAATTTAGTAATTTGTCATTTTACAACAAACGCATACAAAGTATAATTTACTAAAAAATGAGGACAAATCTTTGAAATTATGTCATTTGAGCATAATGTGTATAACACCGTTATGAAATTAGAAATACACCACGTTAAAATTTTATTTCCTCCGAGCCCCCTCCCCGATCAGTAAGCCAGTGCCCTTTCGCCCCTCTCCCCGATCTCCTTCTTCCCCCTTTTCTTTTCTTCTTCCCCTTTTCTTTTCTTCTTCCTCTTCTTTCTTTCCCTTTCTCTCCTCTTTCCTTTCTTTTCCTTCTCTCTCTCTCTCTCTCTCTCTCTCTCTTTTTCCTCCTTTTTTTCCTTCTTTTTTTCCCAGAGAGGGGGGGGGGGGGGGGGGGGAGGGGGGGCGGGCCCCCGCCCCCTGGATCCGCCACTGGGAACACAGCCCAATTTATGCGGACCCCAAGACATAGAATTAGAGAGTTCGCTCATTTATTTCGCTGTTTATCAAATTTTCAATTTACAGAAGTTGTGCTGTCGATGCTGATGAATCCTAAATTTAAAAAAGTGTATTCTTAGAAAACATTAGAGGCAAAATATATTGTTGTCCGACCGGACAAAAAGCAACGACCTTTGTCGTCCCATAGTTCAAATAAGGTAGAGAAACAAATTGTCCATTTTGTGTTAATATCATTATTGAACTAAATGCGGTATGAAAATATATTTCACTGAATCAATGACCTAAATAAAACATATTGCTCAGTATATTAATCTTTAAAAAACTCCAAACAGATAGCTTCGATGATGTAATTATTTCTGCAACTGTTTCACATCATTCTGTAATGATGTAGGATAAAGTTGATCTCGATGAAGCCATCTCGAACGTAAGACGAGCTGGAGGGAACGTCGGCAGTGTCTTCAAAAGAGCATTTAAAGGATTCGCCGTCAAACTTCCAGACCAAGTTCTTAAACTGGTAAGATGATGAGCAGTCTGATAATGATGATGATGATGATGATGGTGATGATGATGATGATGGTGATGATGATAATGATAATGATAATGATGATGATGATGGTGATGATGATAATGATAATGATAATGATAATGATGATGATGATGATGATGACGATAATGATGATAATGGTAATGATAATGATGATGATGATGTTAATCTTAATAGTCATACTGGTAATGAATTTGCTGATGATGATAATGATAACGTTGGTGATGATGATGATGATGATGATGATGATGATAATGATAATTATGAGGGTGTGGGACTTGGTAATGAGAACTAAAGCCTTTCCAAAGAGCACTAGCGCATCGACTTGGTTTCGAAGCAAGGACCTCCCATTCACGAGACCACTTTTCTACAACTGAACCATCGCGTATGTTTTTGACACTCCGTATTTTTCTCTCTCTCCAGCTCTTGTCATGTTTCCAAGTTTATTCCTGTGCCTTTATTTATATCTTTCTTCAAACCAGGTCAGCAAGCTACCCGGCATCGAGTACATCGAGGAGAACGGGGTGGTGCGCACCCAGGCTGTCGGCTCGTGGGGTCTCGACCGTATCGATGCTCGCAGCACCCTCTACGGCAGCGTACGAGATGGTACCTATACACCTTTTGGTAAGTCAATATGAAAATGATATGAACCAGCTGGAAAAAGGGTAGCTTATTACAAATTTCAATCATAACTATTATGCGGTTTGTCTTGTACTAAAATGAAACCATGAGTCACAACACCAAGCCAACTCCATATACCTACTCCGAACCGACCAAGTCTTGGTACTTATTTTGTTTAGCCTCTGTTGTCATGAGTGTCGGTCTACTGTCGATCCGTTGGTGAGACTCAAGTACAAACACGACGCTGGGAATTTAGATTAGCCAATAGACGAAATGAAATTTAGACTGATATCACAGCTTTTGCCATTCTTAAGCATTGCTTTTCTATTTAAATAGACAATGTTTTATATCCAGTGTCAGTTTTGAAGGAAGTGATAGATGTGTATGTGATCCAAAGGAACAGATATAGGTTGTTGAGTCAAGCAAGATGACGTGGCGCTATTTATCTCTATCTCTCTCTCTCTCTCTCTCTCTACCTCCCTCTCTCTCTCTCTCTACCCCCTCCCCCTCTCTCTCTCTGTTTCTGTCTCTCACCCTTTATTCTCATTGTTTCCCTGTATAGTGACCGGTGCTGGTGTGGACGTGTACGTGATCGATTCGGGTATACTAGAGACGCATGAGGACTTTGGTGGTCGTGCTGAACAGAGCTTTTGCGCTTCAGACCTCTTTAGCTTCATCGGTGGTGGAAACGTAATGACACTCGTCGATCATTTCATATTACGATATGACTAAGATCTTATCACACGATGTGTTACGATGTTACATCACGGTGTGTTCCGGTGTTACATCACGATGTATAACGATTTTACAACACGATGTTACAGCAAGAATATTGTACGACGTTACAATACGATATATCACGATCTTACAACACGAATATTATACGATGTTACAATACGATATATCAGGATCGCACAATGAGATGTTTAATAAAGTCACGATGTATTATGATCTCACGACATGATGTTTCACGATGTCGCAAGACGATATATCACGATCTAACAACAGGATAAATCACGATGTTACAATATATTGTATCACGATAGGCCTGCCATGATCTGCAATGAAATATGTCAAGATGTTGCAATATGATCTTAAAGCACTTTATTTTTAAATTATTCTAGATTAATCCTTAGAAACTGTGCGATTAGTTTACCTGCTCCGGACTCCAAGGGATTTTATTATCCTATTCCTCTTTCTTTTTAGCTTCCTGTGCTTCCTTCTCTCGTTATGTCTTTGCCATTTGCTGGGTTTGAGTCTTAAGGTTTGGGGAAGGACCCATTTTTTATGCAATATGATATTCATGGTAATTTACTTAGGTTTTCAAAAATGCTACCTCAACTTTCTTGTAGGTGGATTGCAACGGACACGGTACACACTGTGCAGGGACAGTAGGGTCCAAGACCTATGGCGTAGCTTCCGGTGTGACACTCATCGGGGTCAAGGTCATCAACTGCTTCGGTTCAGGATCAACTGCTGGAGTTATTGAGGGTTCGTATCTTAGCGGAGGGGTGCATGGGGGCGTCTCCTATGATATATTTTGATATTTTATTGCTGGAACGGTCAGTTCAAGATTAATGGCGTAGCTACCGGGGTGGGGCTCCATAGAGATCACGGTCATTAACTGCTTCGGTTCAGGATCAACTGCAGGATTTATTGAGGGTTTGTATCTGTTAGAGGAGGGGTGGGGGCGCCTCCTATGATATATTTTGATATTGTATTGCTGGAACGGTAAGTTCAAGATTAATGGCGTAGCTACGGGGTGGGGCTCCATAGAAATCACGGTCATTAACTGCTTCGGTTCAGGATCAACTGCAGGATTTATTGAGGGTTTGTATCTGTTAGAGGATTGTATTGCTGGAACGGTAAGTTCAAGATTAATGGCGTAGCTACCGGGGGGGGGGGGGGGGCTGTCTCATAGGGGTCAAGGTCATTGGATGAATTGGGTCAGGATCAACAACAGGAGTTATTGAGGGTTTGTATCTTTAAACAAAAAGGGCGGCAGAGGGAGGGGGCGACATCTTATAACTTTTCTGGATCGGTAGAGTATCCGAGACCTGCATGACAAGGCTACTAGTGTTAAGATCAAAGTTGTTAAAGGTATAGACCAGTTTTGGAAACGCCCCCTCTCAAAAATGAAATGGAAGCTCTTATTACCAATCATGTGCAAGAATATACCGCCTACTAAGAGATATATTTGGTAAATTATTATATCTATCCGGACTGGATAGATATCGCGCAGTCCCATATACATCTTTCTGTGTACAGAGTACAGTACTTTAACAAATTTCTGATCATTTTGATGATTCCAGGGGGGTGTTTCATCAACTAAAATCGATTTCGATTTTAAAAATCGATTTTAAGGCCAAAATTAATTTATTTATTTAGTGAAACTGCTGCTAAAATCGAAATCAATTTTAAGCCCTTAAAATCGATAAAATCGATTTTAGATCGATTTTAGGGCTTTAGTGAAACACCCCCAGAACCTTGCAGTACACACCAATACGTATATGCTAGTTTATCAACCTTTTCTGATCAATTCCACAACGTTTCTTTCACAATGCAATCGCATGACTAGAACTGGTCTATACCTTTTATGTCAACGGATGCTTTGGGTCAGGTTCAACAGCAGGAGCGACGGGGGGGGGGGGGGGGGGTGACATCCTATGATATATTTCTACATTTAAGTCCTGGAAAGGTAGAGGATCGATCCGAAACCTAAGACGTAGTTGTCGATGACAAGGTCATTGGATGATTTGGGTCAGGATCAATAACATGGCCTATGGAGGGTTTAAATACATTTCTTAAGGCGTTGGAGGGTGCGAAATCATATGATATTTGTCAAGATTCCAGTGGATCCTGAAGGGAAGAGCAGGCTTCTGGACCCGTCTCTCTTGCCCTTCTGATCAAAACAATACTTGCGCTGTCCCTTTTTCTTAAAGAGCAATCTTATTCATGTCAGAGTTTCTGAAACTTTGAATTTCATTCTAGGTGTAAACTGGGTGATCGAGCAAGCAACCCGTCTGAAGGCTCGCCGGCGACCATCAGTTGCCTCTATATCTATCACTGCTCCTTATTCCCGAGCTTTGAACGAAGCCGTGGACGCCATGGTCGATGCCGGAGTCGAAACGGCCGTCGCTGCCGGCAATGATAACACCAACGCTTGCGACTACTCTCCAGGCAGCTCTGCTAAGGTGAAAAGGGAGAGGGAGAGGGAGAGAGAGAGAGAGAGAGAGATGACAAACGGGGGAATATGGAAACAGGCGAAGGTAGAGGGGAGGGTCTTGTGAGATAGAGAAAGAGAGAGACAGAGACAGACAGACAGAGAGAGAGAGAGACATACATACAGACAGAGACAGAGACAGAGAGACAGCGAGAGAGAGAGAAAGAGAGAGAGGGGGAAGAGGGAGAGAGAAAGAGAGAGAGGGGGAAGAGGGAGAGAGAAAGAGAGAGAGAGAGAGAGGGAGGGAGAGAGAGAGAGGGGGAAGAGGGAGAGAGAAAGAGAGAGAGAGAGAGAGGGAGGGAGAGAGAGAGAGAGAGAGAGAGAGAGAGAGAGAGAGAGGGGGGGGGAGGGGAATAGTTCGCAAGTAACACAATTTGTTGTGTAAATGAAGATTAACTTCTTAAGGCATTTTTAAAAATCTGCATTTCTGCATAACATTATTATGATTATGCTTCTTTACCCGACCCCTTTCGGGAATCTTTTTTTAAAAGCCATCTCATTCTCACCTGCCTCATTCTCTCGAATGTTCGTGATCAATACAAATTCTTCTGTATCTCATGAACAGGTTCTAACAGTCGGTTCGACCTATGACACAGATGGCCGCCTCATTTCTTCCAACTACGGTCCATGTATCGACATCTTCTCCCCCGGCGCCTACACAGTATCTACATGGATAGGTGCTAGCAACAGAGCAACCGAGACCCTAACCGGTACTTCCATGGCTTGCGCTCATGTAGCTGGTATGTTTTTCGCTGATATTTTCTTTAACATCCTTTGTTATCGTTAACTATTTAAATAATTTGATTCTATTTTCCCTAAAATGTTTTCCCTTAGCATCAACGTTGAGCATCGGAGCACCGGGGAAGTATCCTTACTGGTACTTCCATGGCTTGCGCTCATGTAGATGGACTGTTTTTCGCTAATATTTTCTCCAACATCCTTTGTTGTTGTTGTTGTTATTTGAAATCATTTGATTCCATTTTCATTAAAATGTTTCCCGCTAATACCAACGCTATGATAGCAAGAGAGCTATACCTCTCCGTTGGTTGCGCTCATGATGCTTGCTGGTATGTACATTTATCGAATTCGGAGGGGGGGGGGCACGAATCGGGGTATGTGCCCTATCCTTCATTAAAAGTCAGTATGGTATACTGCAAGTGCATCGTCATGAAGTGCATTACAAAAAAAATACGTACTCTAATTGTTCCTCACCTGGCAGTATTCGTAGACCCCTTTCAACATAAGAGGCCCTGGAAATTCTCGATTTTGTAATCTTGCACGCGATCTGTATCCACTGGGTGCAAGCCAAATATTACCAACAATTGAAACTTCTCCCAGTAAGATAACATTCAAAGCATTTTGGTGCTTGTCCATCAATGTTCACTTCTACTTCTAATAGAATATCTGTATTAGTGATGCTTTGTTTTACTGATTTAATATGATTATGATGTTGATTTGTTTTGTAGGTGCCCTAGCTCTGTACCTTACTCAGGATGAACTGATGCACCAGAGCACGGCCAATGTAGTAACAGATCCCGGTCCTGGATCACCAAACAGGTTCCTCTACATTCAGAAGAAAAGGTAAATGTTTGCAAGGTTCACTGATACGGTTGGAATGCTTCCCAGGGAGTGGAGAATGTGCATACATTGTGTGCGGGTTAGCCTGAATGCGATGACCGGGGTAATAATATATATTCTGTAAAGCGCTTTGAGAGGGCCTTTAGTCTTGAAAAGCGCTATATAAGAACTAGCTATTATTATTATTGCTATCCCGAAAAAAGGGGGTGGCATAACTGGCCCCTACTCCCTTTTTAAAACCCAAATGGTCTGTATTATATCAATTCAATTAAACATCGCGTTTAACAAAGGAAAACTTAAAGCTCTGACAATCTTCCTTTGTTAAACCAGATTTTGAACAAACACTTAAACATAGCGTCGAGTTTAAATTACAGAGGAATACGGGCCAATGTGGCAAATATTAACAGATATAGTACAGAAATAAAAACTACTCCCGTCTAATTGTTTTCTCGTGCTTCCTGTCATGTTTTAGTTAGACTCAAATGCACTTTCAAAGAAACTACTAACATTTGTCGACATTTTCCGGTCAGAAATTTGTGAACTTGTCCCCCCCCCCCCCCCCCCCCCCCCCCCCCCCCCCTCGAAAGAAAAATCCCGAATCCGCCCTATACCAGAATCTCAATGACAAGGTCAAGCAGGCCGAAAGACTTCTTAAGACTTACATTCAACAGGTTGTTCGATAAACAGTAATCCACAAGTTTGTATACGCCAGGATCATTTTCAAAATCTGTTTAAATATCTTTCACTTTAAACATTATATATGAATGAATAATTATGTTGTCAACCTTTTTGTATTGTTTCTTTTTGTTTCTTCTGTACAGATGAAGGTCTATGCAAGTCCCCACTTCGCATCTTAAAAAGTAATCGCTGAAATTGAAAATGATCAAGTATAATCACACAATAGATTTCAGATTGCGTCATCACAATGCAAATGTTTAAAGTTTTACACCGGACCGTTTGAAAGCAAGTTTTCATCCGATTGAAAGATAATAGTAGAAGAGTGCTCACAGCTTCTTAACGGCTTGATATTTAAATTATGCTCTATACGTTTTTTATCGACATATCAAAATAATAAATCAAATGTATAGAATTTAAAAATACATGGAGTAATTTTCTACCTGTAAATGTTTTATGGACGAATGGACAATCATTAAAGGGGTTATCATCCTAATCTACTCTATGGTTTGATTAGCAATGGCGCTTGTAAAATGGCGACTGGCGACTGGCTGGAATGCTCCCCAGGGAGGGGAGAATGTGCATGCCTTGTGTGCGGGTAAGCCTGAATCCGATGACCGGGCTGATAATATGTTCCGCGCCTAGAAACAAAGTATTAGGCGCATTATAAGTGTAAGCTAGTATTATTATTACTCTATATTCGTATCATTGTTGTCTGGAGAGATACTATAATCTTTCTTTCTTTCTTACTTTTTTTTTCGTGAGAAATCCACACATAATTATGCAAGCACTGCTATTCAGTCGATTTCTCAATTTTCTTGAAATTTAGACTTAATTTATCATAATATTATGCTCATGTATACTAAAATGCTTTTATTACTTATCGATATGTAATATTGTATAATTACAAATAAGTGTTATTTTTTATGTTATTTTGCAAATGTCATTTGATATTGATTTTATATGAGCACTTTGTTTCATGTTTTGATTGAGTTATGGAAATAAAGCTATTTGCATTAAATCGAATTGAAATTGGAGGGAATAGTTGTAACTACAGAAATATACATGGAATGAGAAACTGGACAGGGGTTAAGGTGAAGAATAAGGGAGATATTAGTGTACAAAGGAAGTACAGAAGTATGAGAAGTATGTGAGAGAATATGAGAAAGAGAGAGCAAGGGGAAGAGGGGGGCATATAGAAGAAGAAAGACCGATAGGGAAAAGGGTGAGAGGGAAAGAGAAAAAGAGAGAGATAGATGGATATATATATATATATATAGAGAGAGAGAGAGAGAGAGAGAGAGAGGGGGGGGGGAGAGAGAGAGAGAGAGAGAGAGAGAGAGAGAGAGAGAGGGGGGGGGGGGGGGAGAGAGAGAGAGAGAGAGAGAGAGAGGGGGGGGGGGGGGGAGATATATTGAAGGGGGTAGGGAGGGACTGTAAAATTACGACTCGACCATGTCAACATGTTCTTCCTTACATATTGAAGAGCGCCATCTGATTACACTTAGAATTGTAACTCGGCTTTGATTTCGACATTTTAACCAATCTTCTTACATCCTTGTATAGGGACAACTGCCATCTCAAAGTCCATCTCCGGACAACTACCTCTGGACATCTAGTCCCTAGGACAACACTAAGGGAACCCTACCGAACATGGTATAATGGGGGTAAGCCCTAGTTGTCTGGCAGTTAGGGGTTCAGGGTTAAATATCCGGGGTAGTTGTGAATGGTGGTAGTTGTCTTGGAAACATCCAATATGTTGTCCTAAGTCATGTATGTGGTAGTTGTCCGGGTGGTAATTATTCAGTTTTTTAGATAGAAAATTGTGTCTTATATGATAGGCTTAATATGTTACACTAAACCCGAAGTAACCAACATAAAATGCTCATCAAATGACAGGTAAAGTGCCCTTTCTTTTCGTCATAAGAAAATATAGAACCTATTTGTGTTATATATCATAAAATAAAATATGTGTACGCACACATATATTTGTATATACGTGTTGGCATGATAAGATGATGAAGTTAACAAATTAAAGTAGAATGGAAGTTTCATACTTTAAAAGAAAAGTCTCTCGCTGAAATCTGTAAATACGAAAGAAACCCGTACATAAAGACCAACTGTCTATCAAGACCACTTTTAATGTTTCCCTTGAGCGGTCTTTATATGCAGGTTTCACTGATTACAGTAATAGAAGGTCTTCTACATGGACAGAAAACAAAAAGGAAGGCCTCACGATTAGTTTTAGACGATATCATTGGTGAATGTGGAGTAGAAGGATTCAGTGAATTGATGCTCAAAAACGTAGAACCTGGAGAGACATTTGTTATTATAAAACAAAAACTTGTCATTTTGACAAATTACTATTGAAGATATACAATCAATAAACAAATTGACCTAACACAGGACGTTGAAACCAATAATTATCGCAAGATAAGATAATAGACATTAATCAAATTCCAATCAATCATACGGCCATTTCCAGTCATATTATCTAGCTTAAATTTGTTTTTTCGTCACGATGTATTGACAGAGCCACAGATGTTGATAAAGAAAATTTCGGAAACGATCTGATGGAATTTTCCTTTCTATCCATATATTCGTATTATGTAAATAATATTGCCAGTGGCATAGAATAGTTGCAGTATAAGAGGAGAATATGCTGGGAGAGGGAAAAGAGAATCCCTATCATTTGAACCATAATGCATGGCCCTACAGAAGAATTTTTCCTGTTGGGGACCGGGGGAAATGCAATATATTATTGATAATTTATTACATTTTCTTTGTTTTTTGTATTTGTGGGGGCTGCCCCGTACCCTAGCCCTCGCTGCGTACAGTCATGATTCAGTGGCTAAGTAATGGCCTCGTCACTGTGAGGCCCCATGATCAAAACCGTGTCGATGTTCTATATAATAATAATGATAATTAAGCATTTTTATATAGCGCATAAAACATAGGCAAAATTGCATGTCTCTATGCACTTAAAGAAAAGAAAAGAAAAATGCACTGAGTTCATGATTCTGATTATTTATGAAGTGGTGAAGAGATATGTTTGCAGAGATTTGATAAAGGTTTTGTAGGATCCTGTGCTTTTCAGATGTTCAGGCAACTTGTTCCACAAAAAAGCGGCTGCATATGAAAAAGACCTTTCCCCATGATTTTTGTCATTGTTTGTGGAACACAAAGCAGGGACTTGGAATTGGAACGTAGCATTCTAACTGGTTTATATGGAGTTAGCAATTCAGTAAGATAAAAAGGAGCTAGTTGATGTAAACATTGGTAGGTTAATAGAAGTACTTTAAACTGGATTCGAGACTGGATGGGTAACCGATGTAGATCTCTTAAGACCGGAGTTATTAATTCATGTTTCTTTGTGCGTGTAACAAGTCGCGCTGCAGAATTTTGAAGGAGTTGTAGTCTTTGAATTTGAGAAGAAGGGAGACCAGAAAGCAAACTATTACAGAAATCATAAGTGCCCTTTTGTGAGGTATTGATCCTCATTATGTCCCCTAGTTGATTAGCATAGTAGCACACACATGCTTTAGCAGTCACGCAAAACAAACACTCATAAATTATTATTCAATAAAATCTGAGAATGTATAATGTTATCTAAATCTATTAGATATAAATTATTGTCAAAATCATTCCATAAATTGGGGTAAAAAGAATTATTCCACCTTTATGACCAACAGTGTACACAGAAATTGCATATTATTTTGTTATATTATACTCAATGAAAGGTTACCTGATTGCCTCCAGGGCACCCCAATGCCCGAAAGAAACGCACTATTTAGAAAACTTCACTTTTTTATGCAAAAATACTTATTTGTTCAATGCACGCAAGTCAAACTGAGCGGATGATACAACGTTTTCATATAGGGGGGGGGGGGGGGGGGGAGGTAATTGTCCTTGGGGTTGGTTGTCATTTGTTACAGGGCCATGGCCTTTATAAAGGGACAATTGTGAGCAAAACACCCGGTGTCCAAAGATGTATGTACCGAGCAAGAATCGAACCCAGGACCTTTCATACAAGTGTCAGGAGATTTCATCGTTAAACCATGCTGTTCCAGTTTCACTTCTTCCGCTCTCATTCCATCGGTGTACAGATAAGTTGTAATTAATTTATAATTTCATAATCGTCAACGCTTCCTTCAGGTTTAAAGTCCTATTTGCATGGCCCGGTTCGTTTTAAAAGTGTCTCTAGCTTGCGTCACAAGACCGGCGTCGGTTTCCTGAGGAGTGATAAACGTGTTTGCTAAGTACGGAATGAAGACATCTGCCATCGTTCTTTCTAAAAGTAGATAAATACAAGGCTCTGTCTTGCTCAACCCTATTCTTTCTTCGAGTCTTCCTTCTCTGAGTATCAAGCAACAATATCAGGTGAGTTGGTATTGCTCTTTTTCAATCGATAATTATACTCTCGTCTGTTAGAAAAAGATTCTATGATACCTACCTATCAAGGTATCTTCTCCCAGATCTCGGAGATTGATTGCCACATTTTTCCACACGTCTCTGTCTTCTGCCAACCTAGTACACTTTCGCAATTTCATCCCACTCATGTCTTCATATTCCGCTCCCAGTTAGTTCTAAGTGTCCATCTTGGTCTAGTACCTTCTACGTTTCCTTCCAAGAGACTCTAAAATCTTTTAATGTGGTTTTAAAATTACGTGTTAGGCAAAATAAATGCCGGTCATGCACGTGTATGCTCTCAACCAATCATTTGATAAGGATCCACGTCATCATCATCCTTTTCTAATTATCAAAATCATCCTGGTCAAAATGTCCCGCAATTTTTCACTCGAAAATGTGATAGAAGGGTAGTTCATTGGTTCAACAATGAGATAACAAAGTTCTATTTCCTTGACTTTTGATGGTTGTACATAGACAATCATGCGTGGATTCATCGCTCTTCTCTTGGTGGCTGTAGCCTACGCTTCCCCGGTGCTTCGTGCTCGAGAACCCATCCAAGATAGCTACATCGTCAAACTACAGGTAAGATAATATGCATGACATGGAAGAGAAAGAGAAAAAAGGAAAGACAGACCGAGAACTGAATGCATGTTAGGGGATGGGTGAGTGGGTGGGTGGGTGGGTGGGTGTTTTAGGTTTAAAGGGGCTATAGCATGACGGTCTATGCGTCTTTCCCGAGGCCCAGTCGGGGAAAATCGGGTATAATAGTACGACTACGGGCCTGCAACATACGCGAAACCGAAGCGGGGGGAGAACATCGGTCTGTTTCGCGAACGTTAGCGCGCGCTGACCCAGTTAATCAAGTCCATTTGTTACGTGTAGTTATCCAAAAGAAGACGTAGATGGCGTCAACCAGTATTTCCCATGCTACAGCCCCTTTAAATAATTTCGCTTGACACTCTCCCATTATATTGGTTTGCTGTCACCAAAATAATTTTATAAAAGTTATTGAGGTCTTGTTTTGACCAATAAAGAATTATTACTTGATCAAACACATTGATAATTCCTCCAAGTTCCGTAGCCTAATTTAAAGGGCAATTGATTGTCCAATTGATGAAGATTAACACTGGGACCGAGCAGGTACTATCTGTTATGGGTACGGCATTATGGTTTCAGAGGAAAGATGAGAGAGTGAGCTATTCAATGATGAACGTTTAACAATTGTTATATTCCACATCATTTAATATCATTTCATAACCATAATTAACTAAACGTAACAGCCATCCACTAATTTTGGACCATTGAGTTTCTGACACTGCCACTTCGGGCTGTCTGAAATGAGTCATTCGGGGCTTCTTGAACATGATATTGATCTCATATGAAAGAAGAGATATTGAGGATCCAATCATGTATAAATTAAGAATGGAATTATAATCGAGTTATTTACACGTAAACTTGGGTTTCCCCTTTTCTGGGACATCTGGTTTTATATAGTATATACACAGTGCGTCCCAGAACAAACGAAACCGAGAATTATGGGACCGAGCAGGTACTATCTGTTATTATAATTAATTAATAAATGACACACATTTGTAAAGCTTAGATCTTCTTTTTTCATTTGATGCAACTCATATGATGCATATTTTACGCAATTAAATTTTGAAGAGAGGTTACCAAAAAGTCATTTTGCGGGCGGTATCTGAATTTTCAAAGAGAAAATCAAATTTCTAGAAATTTCATTGCCTGCCCTTTCATGACACCTCGATCAGGAAAAATGAGCAAGGAATAACAAACCTCTGTTTGTTTTAAGTAACGCTTGCATTTCCATAATTTGATTAAACGAATTCGTTTTCACTGGCTGCCTGCTGTAGCAACAAACAAAAGACTTAACTCCGTTTCGTTGACGATCAGCCATGCACAAACAAGACGAAAGACTTTAAACCTTCACATCCCATCCTAATTAAATACAATTTAATTTTTTATAATCAATCAAAAGCAACGTACTGAATCTTGTCTTGACAATCTTGTTTCACCAGAATGATGTCGATCTTGATGATTTCATCTCGACCGTTCGACTTGCCGGAGGCAAACTGGGCAGTGTCTACCGTAAGGTCTTCAAAGGATTCGCAGTAGAGCTTTCCAGCAAGGTCCTTGATCTGGTAAGCAATTTATCACAATTGTGACGATGACGACGGCGATGATGACGGTGGTGGTATTGTTGATAATAATGCAGTGTTGGTGGTGGTGGTGGTGATGGTGGTGATGGTGGTGGTGGTGGTGGTGATTGCGGTGGTGGAGGTGGTGGGGTGTGTGATGGTGTGGTGATGGTGACGACGACCATGACGATGAGGATAATTGTTGTGAAGGTGATAACGATTTTGGTGATGATAATGGTGGTGATGGTGGTGGTGATGGTATAGGTGTGATGGTGGTGATGATGTTGGTAACAATAATGATGCATGATGGCGTGCATGATGGTGATGACGATGATGATGGTGATGATGATGATGGGATTGGTGATGATAATGGCAGCAGTGATGATGATGAAGATAATGATTCTAAACCATCCTTTTTCGAAATCGCTCAATCAAGACGCGACATTTCTTTTTCTCTCCCCCCCCCCTCTTCCCCTCTTAGGTCAGCAAGCTACCCGGCATCGAGTACATCGAAGAGAACGGTGTGGTACGCACCCAGGCTGTTGGCTCATGGGGTATCGACCGTATCGATGCTCGCACCGGACTTGACCAGACCTACTCACCAGCATGTATTAAAGCATTATCACCACAGCCGTTATCCTCATAACGCCTACCAACTTTAGACCAAATTAAAACAAAACATGTTTAGCGTCCTGCCTTTTTGGAAAGTATGAAGGAGGAGGCCCTTTTCTTTCTTCTTTTGTTTTCTTCTTCAAAATGGCCGTTCGGTACATTTTCCCTGACAGTCGGGCCATTTTCAAGTTGGCCTCTGTTATTTTTTGTATATAAAAAAAAAAAATCAGATATAGATCATTTAAGCAGATGTTTTTTGTTTTTTTTTTCTCTTAAAAAAAAAAGAAAAAAAAGAAAAAAGGAGGAGCCCCCAAAATGGAAGCGGGTGGGGACGCTAAACATGAATGATTTTTTAAATGGTCTTAGTCCACTTTTAAGTCGGTAGATGTAGTCTATATCATGTGTATGGAGCACTGAATGTCAAACTTCTCTACCCGTAATAATTACCCTAATTCTGTATACAAACATCATGCCAACATGAAAGACAATTCATATTTTCATTATGGCTTGATTCGATCAGCTTACTCATTGTGATACAGAATTACAATATTTCGATAAAATAAATAGCTAATAAAACAGTGGGTCCTCCATTAATCAAGCGTTTTGTTACTTATTTTTTTTTAGATATGAGCATTACGTCTCATTTTTATACAGTGTCAAGATAAAATTAAATAACCTTTTAACTCTTTTAACGGTATATTTTTTCCTTTCATGGAAAATCTTCTTTAAAAAAACAATTGGGTTTGAAACCATTTTTCTATCACGGCCATGCAACCTTTACAGTTTCTCGCATGATAAACGTAATACATTCTTAAAGAGGAAAAAAATATGATTGTTGTTCCATGTAACAAGTTATATAGAGATTTTCTTTTTGACTCGTCGAATCTTTTTTTCTTTCTCTGTCTCTCCCTCTCCATCTGTATCCCCCCTCTCTCTCTCTCTCTCTCTCTCTCTCTCTCTCTCTCCCTGTATCTCCGTGTGTGTGTGTGTGTGTCTCACTCTCTCTATCTGTCTCTCTGTCTCTCTGTCTCACCCTCTCTGTCTGTATCCCCCTCTCACTCTCTCTCTCCCTGTATCTGTGTGTGTGTGTGTGTCTCTCTCTCTGTCTGTCTGTCTCCTTCTCTCGCTCTCTTCCTCTCTGTCTTCTCTCTCGCTCTCTTCCTCTCTGTCTTCTCTCTCCCCCTCTCTCTCTCTCTCTCTCTCTCTCTCCCTCTCCTCCTCTCTCTCTCTCTCTCTCTCTCTCTCTCTCTCACTCTATCTATCTCTCTCTCTGTTTCCGTGTTTCCCAGTGACGGGTGCTGGATACACTGTGTACGTGATCGATACAGGGGTCAATGACCAACATGTGGATTTCGGAGGGCGAGCTCAACAGGTTTTCTGTGCTGACAACCTTTATACCGTGATAGGTGGTGGAAATGTAAGCAAACCTCGATTGCTAAACTCTCTGTCGAGCGTTCACTCTTCTTAATCAATCTACAATTAAAACTCTCCATCCAAGGGGGTGTTTTACAAAGATCCTCAGTCGAACCTAACACTAAGTTAGACTTAAACATTATGGAGAGCCATTTGTAGCCTTAAAATAAAATATATTCAAAAGCAAAAATCCAAGTATTTTGGACTTTTCATAAATTGCACATCAAGAACATGAAATCTACTTGATAATACAAAATATGAATGATTTATATCAATATTTTATGCCTTTTAAAATAACTTTTACAAAATATTTTCAAAAATACTAACGCCGGGCTTTCCATAATTGTTAAGGCCAACTAAAAGTTCAACTTCACAGGTGAAGTAAACAAATATGATTATACCGTCCGGTACGAAGTAATTCCATGAACGCAGTGCTTTAGCGCCTCATGATGGCGGCTCGTCTACAGCTGGGGTTGTAATTTTGAAAGGTAATACAAAGTTTTGGTTTGGGGTCATGAATTTGCGGGTACAAATGAACATATTGGAAGTATATGCGATCCTACAATATTCAGTGATCGTTGTCGCGGTTGAAATAGAGTCTAAAGAGATGAAATTGTAAATAATGAACTTTAAATGTTGTATAGCTTCCCTCTCAAGGTCAAGATATTTATTTAGCTTTAAATCAATGTTTCTTGACCATAATCGATTGGGTATTCCCGTTTGGAAATTATATATCACAACTGAATATATTCTGAGATTTTCATGGTCGCAGCTACCGTTCGATGGCCGTACAGGCTCTATTTGAAATTTATCAAAATTTACATCACCATTATCATTCTCAATTTAATAGGAGGATTGCAATGGACATGGAACACATTGCTCTGGAACAGTCGGCTCTAACACATATGGGGTCGCAAAAGGTGTCAACATTGTTGGCGTGAAGGTTCTCGGATGTTTAGGTTCAGGATCTAATGCAGGTGTTATTCAAGGTCGGTGTTCAGAAAAAGTTTTATTTAGTTTGTTTTTAATCCTTTATGTTGAATTATTTCAATAATATTTACTTTAGTTCAATATTTTTCATTTACGTGGTTACCTAATCTGTATAACGACCATATTGTTTTTAAAGTTATTTTTAATGATTTATATTTGTTTATGTTACTTTTCTTAGTATGCTCTTCTATTCTCTTTTTTAAAGGAATAGGCTCGTTCGAAAGTCAAATTAATGGAGCGTCGAATTAATTACCTCAAATAGAATTGTACTGGCATTCGAACCCACTCGTGTGTGCATCTCATAACAATCTCTTTTCATACCATGTAGCCTATTGGTTATCATTAGTAATTTTATCTCTTTAAAAAATCTCTTGTAATAAAGCTATTTTTCTTGACAATTAGTTGCGAATTCTTTTAATTTTCTTGCAGGTATTGAGTGGGTGATTAGTAACGCCAGGAGTGGCCGTTCTGTTGCATCGATGTCTCTCGGTAGTGGCTATAACCAAGCCACAAACGATGCCGTGAATGCCATGGTCGATGCCGGAATCCAAACCGCCGTAGCTGCGGGCAATGACAACGCTGACGCCTGTAATTACTCTCCAGCTAGCGCCGCGAAGGTATGGATGGAGAAAGAGAGAGAGAGAGATGGGGGGGGGGGAAGAGAAGACTCCGAGGGAGTGGGAGGGGGGGGGGGAGTGAGAGAGAATAAGAGAGAGAAAGAGAGAGAGAGGGGAGAGAGAGAGAGAGAGAGAGAGAGAGAGAAAGGGGATGAGGGGGAGAGGGGAGAAGACTCCGAGAGAGTGAAGAAGAGAGAGAGAGGGAGAGAGAGAGAGAAAGAGAGAGAGAGAGAGAGAGAGAGAGAGAGAGAGAAAGAGAGAGAGAGAGAGAGAGAGGAAAAGCTAGGGGCTGTTTTTTTTAAAATACCCATTGCTTACGAAGCGTCGGTTTTGACTGCGCTATTACCAACGCTAGTCAAAACATTTACCATGCTTGCTTGTGAAAGCAATTTCTGCATTCAACAGGAACTCAATAGAGTGTTTGCACTGTTCATTTTGCACTACTCACATTATCTACGATGTCATTCTTCGATAGCGCGTCAAATAAAATTCGCAAAAATCGGTGACGCAGTCTTCCGTCAGCCAAAGACGCCTCGCGCACAACGGTAAAAAGCAACGAAACGGTTATTTATCCTATAGCATCCTCAATTGTGGAGGTGTCGTGGTACAGTGGTTCCTTCACTTGACTCTCAATCCAGGGGTTGAGGGTTCAACATCCAACCTTGCCCTTTAAACGTACTTTCCCAAGACATTAATCTACATTTGCCACCCTCAACCCAGGTGCTAAATGGTTACCCGATAGGATGCACAAGTCATTGTAGTTCGCTCAGCATTGAGAGGGTCAATAAAATGGCGTCTGGCTGGAATGCTTCCCAGGGAGTGGAGGATGTGCATACGTTGTTTGCGAGCAAGTCTGAATCCGATGACAGGGGTGATAATATATCTGTCAAGCGCGCAGAGCCACCGTCGATCTCATAAAAACCTAGAATATTATTATCATTATTATTATTTCATCAATATTATTATCATTATTATTATTATTGATATTGTTGTTGTTATTAATACCATCATTGTGGCAGGCTACATCTGTAGGTTCAACCACATTTGCTGATGTCCGCTCCAGTTTCTCCAACTACGGAACATGCGTCGATATCTTCGCACCCGGCTCCTCCATCACATCCACCTGGATTGGTGGGACCGATGCAACCAGAACCATTAGTGGAACATCAATGGCCTGCCCCCATGTTGCTGGTAGGTCCAACTTTGAATTGAAAGCCGTTTTCATTATAGCCTGACTTTTATTAAAAGGCAGTTTATTGCCGTTTAATCTATAACCGGTTCGTCTACTTCCCATATGGTCTATAATTACCCATTTAGTCTAATTTCCAGTCGGTCTAATTCCCATGATAAGTAGACGAAATGATTATTAGACCGTATGTATAGTAGCCGGGCTGGGTGTAGACCATATGAGGAAAAAAAAAACTGATTCGGTAGTAGACGAACTTGATGCAGACCAAACGGCAATTCACCATTTTACCGACATCTGTAGTTTGAATTGCGCCATCTTCCGGTGAAGGCGTACATAGAGCGAGTTTCGCTTACCCGCACCCAAGTATCATCACGCGCGCGTCACCAGTTGGTGATGCCTTGTGGGACCTGGCTGTCGACACATCGGGACATTTTTTGAACAACAGATAGCAGTAAACGTAAACCTGAAATAGTGTCAGTAGAATACACTGCCTTTAAAATAGCCCACTCAGTCTAATCAGAGAGGTGACCTCACCTCCCTGGTCTAATCCGTCTTTAAATTATATGCATCTATTCAATCGTTTCGTAGTCAAGTGGATTCGTCACCGGACTGCATGTAGATCACAATGGTTGGTGTTTCGAGTCCCGCCGCGGCGATAATGTCCTTTACCAACACATTAGCCTACATTTGCCACTCTCCACCCAGGTGACGTAAGTGATTTCTCGGTAGGAAAAAATCTCTTGAATGCCATAGCGCCTTATTATGGCGGCTCAGTATCTCCACCCAGTCAGGTGTTGTTAGTGGGTACCTGTTAGGAATTTGGCTTTAGTTGTAGTGTTGGGACCACGGGTTGAAGTCAGGAATTAATATAGTATAAGAAGTTAACCCGGAAGCATATGCAGCGGAAGCAGTGTCATACAACCGCACAGTGAATATCCCCCCTCGAAAAACAAAAAACAAATAAAAACAAATAAAGGATAAATAAATAAATATCGTATGAGGGCGAGTATATAAAGCTGGGTGCAACTGTTGTCCAAATGGAATCTCTCAATTAATGACTGTGTATATCTTTTAGGTGCTCTGACTTTGTACGAAACCAGGAATGACCTTCTCCTTGCGGGTACTCCGGGAGTCATCCAGGATGTGGGTTCCGGTTCACCCAATCTGTTTCTCTACGTAGATCATGTGTAATGATAAACAGGTAGGGGAATAATGCTTGCTAGCTAGTGTGTTTGTTTGATTGATTGGCTAAGTGATCAAATTATTGATTAATTAATTTAATCATTCTTAGTGGTGGTTATTTTACCTGACTGCTAAGAAAGCATTAATGCTTGCTAGTAAGCAACCATAGGACCGACGGCTTTAGGTCCACTCCGAGGGACCTGGTAATGAGGATTAATGCCTTACCAAAGGGCAATAGCGCATCGACTTGGTTTCGAACCCGGGTCACCGGATTGCGAGACCACTGCTCTACCAACTGAGCTATCGCGCTTCCTTTCATTGACCTATTGATTTATTGATTGATTGACCGACAAATTGACCACATTATTGATTGATTTATTTATTGACTAATTGATTGACTAATTAATTCAATGATTGATCGATCAATTAAACAAATGGTGGATGAAATTCGGGCAATTATTTATTTATTTATTTATGGGTTGATTGATTGCTGGATAACCAAAGAATTTAAAGATTATCAAAATCTGACTGATTTGTTTTTCTCTCGATCTTTCCCCCTTACAGATGAAGATCATTTCTAGGCTCGATCCTTGCCTCTTAATTTCGACATAGTGAAACAATTTGCTGCAATTCTTAGTCTCGCAGAAGATGAAAAACAATCAGTACCCTGAATTTGTCAGGAAGGAAGGATGGGGAGGGGGGGGGGGGGGGGGGTACCATGAAATAACAGGTGATGGGAAAAATTTGAACGAAAGGCCCATTTTGGGACAATATATTGGCACGAATGATCCTATCATTTTCTCCAGAATACAATGCAAATTCTCTTTTATTTATGACGGATATAAGACATGAAAAGATGGCATTTTTAATAGATACATATTTACAAAATATAGCACATGCAGTAAACACTCGAGTTTAATTTTACATACAAAGTCGAAGTCATATCAAATATAGAATATTCATGAAGTTGTTGTTTTATCATGTTAATCGCAATCAAATGAATAAAATACTATGTCCTGCAAATCACATACCTGATATTGGTTGTTTGACTATTTTTTTCCTTTAGTCATAGTGTACATCCTTTTTGTACGCCTCTTCTTTTACTTATATATATATATATATATATATATATATATATATATATATCATGTAAGTTTTATCGTAAAAATAAATTCTGCTAATTATATTACTGCTGCTGCTACACCAACATGATCTGCATCAATAATAACAGCTACAACAACAACAATAACAACAATTACTCGTCCTTATACTTCTGCTGATGCTACTACTACTACTACTACTACTACTACTACATTACTCATAATATTACTAGTACTACTACAACTACTACTACTACTACTACTACTACTATTACTACTACTACTATTTCTAGTTATTCTGTATTCTACCTCTTCTACTTCCCCTTTAACATTCGTCTTTGCTTTCGTGTGTACTATTACCTCCTCACAAGGAATTTAAACGAGACAAAAGGTTATTATACACTCATTTTGAGAGGGAAATGCGTTATATATATATATATATATATATACAGGCTACAAAGATAGATAATACTTTGTGCATGAACGAACGTAGGGAGCAAACGGGAGACGCTCATATATAGGCGTACGGGGCAAGTGGGAGGGAAGGGGGGGGGGGGGGGGGCTGCAGCCCTCAGAGAATTTTGAAATTGTCCATATTCGGGCAACCGTCAGGTCGTATTCGAACAAGAGACATCAGCCCCCAGCCCCGCCGCGGTAAAAAGTGTGCCCATGCGCATATATCTGTATATGGAGACACGACACTGAAAATACAGATTTTGAGAAAAAGAATTTGAGAAAATAAAAGGGGGATAAGAGAAAGAGTATTTATATACATAAAGAGAGAGAGATAGAGAGAGAGAGAGGTATATGAATGAGAGAATGAATGAGTGAGAGAGAGGGTGGTGAAGGACGAGTGGCGGAGGAAAAGAGTTATTAGCTAGGGAGTGATCATAAAATATATTCAGCTGACTAACGTTGCGAATTTGCTCTATTAACGGTCAGTCGGTGTACCATCCTCACTGGTTCTGGGACATCCTTAAACCTGCACGTGATCATGGCCTTCATGACAGCCTTGAAGACCGGGTGCTTGGTGGCGTAAATCACCGGGTTGATGCAGGCATTACAGAGGACAATCGCACTGGCGTAAGGCACGAATGGATCACTGTCATCGAAGAAAAGACACATCGTAAACGGCGCGATGCATAAAAAGAACGTGCAGACGACCAAGAACATATTTTTGGTGATCTGCAATTGGCGCCTACTATTGCTGCGTCCGCGGCGGAGCTTTGTCGACGAGTCTCTGGCTATTACGCTCCCTTTGCTGTTGTTAGCGTTAGTGTTGGCGTCGCCGTTGGTGTTACCGATGGCGTTGCTGCCACTGTTACCGCCGTTCTCTGAGGAAGTGTTGACGTCACTCAGTGAGGGCGCCATCTCGTTGCCATCACGTGTCGTCTCCGTGCCGCCTTTGACCCCTCCCTGTTGTGGTGTTTCTAGTTGTTGTTGTTGCTGTTGTGTTGACGAATGATGTCCATACTTCTGTGGTTTCCCGTTCTGCAGATTTCTGTCAAGAGAAGGAGAGAGAGACTTGAAACAAAACAAAACACAAGACCAAAATATTTAACCAATGATTTTTATTTTCCACAAAACCCCATCCGCTTGGTCACTTTGCTCACTCGCACTCCATCCACTTAGGAAGACCTAGACCCTGTTTCTTCAAAATTGTTATCGATGATAAGATACGATCATTATTATGAGCTACTGAAATGATAACATTTTGATTGGCAACGAGCAGTTTAGTCAGAAATCTGTGGCGGATATTATTGATAGCAAGTTTTAGGGAACAGGGCACCGTGAGAGCGCACTTTACCCATGACAGATACCACCTCGATACCTTGTCCAACGCCCCACTACTGTGTCCTCCAATAAGAATATGGACATGCTTTAATTCATTTTGTTTGTATTTTGTATGTATCTTGTGTGTATGCATTCTATATAGGCGACGGTAACAACAAATAGCAACATCGATACTCGTTTCCGTCAGTACACCAACCTAAATTTCAAAGCCAATAGTCTCAGGAGATCGCATCATTTACTGTGTTAAAGGTAAAGTTGAGTTTTGGTCAAGCGATTGCATTGTGAAAGAAAAGGTGTGGAATTGATCAGAAAAGTTGATCATGTAGCATGTAAGTATTGGTGTGTACTGCAAGGTTCTGGAGTCATCAAAATCATAATAAATTTGGCCCAGTTTAGGTAAAGTTACAATCACTGTACACAGAAAGATGTATACGGGACTACAAAAATGGTGTCGGGCCTACTTACCTTGATTTCTTTATCTTGTTGTGCTCATTACTCAGCCAGTATATACATTTTTAACCAAAATTGTTTGGCAAATGACATTTATTTGTAATCTTGAACATTCAGTGTAAGTTTCGTTTGATTCTGTGAGAATTCATTTTTTTTTTTTTTACCAGAACTCAAATTTATCTTTAACACCAGGGACCGTGATAATAATTCTCCATGTCTATGAATAGGTAGAACAATCGATAACTCATTAGCCAACGCGTAACCTCTCAAAGATCATAGATCTCATAGATCAGACGATTGACAGGACGCGGAATTCAAATTCAAATAATTCAAATAATTTATTCACTCAATATAAAAAAAAAAACAGACACATAGAATTGCGAATAAACGCATACATGTATAACAAATATAAAAAGATGGACATACACCCTGTAGCAAAATCAGTAGATGACAACACAAATAACATAAATTGAGTGGGGATCAGATTTAAGATCTACTCAAAGATCTTGTGAATTCGACCCCTTAGAATAAAATAAATTGCATTGTATACTGTTGCATGTACAACAACAGGAGGGAGAGAATACATATACAGCTACAGCTGGGTCAGAGAGAAACAAGAGAGGGAGATAGATAGAGAGAGAGAGAGAGAGAGAGAGAGAGAGAGAGAGAGAGAGAGGGGGGAAGAGGAAGGAAAATTGAAGGAGAGAAAGGCAAGATGAGAAGTAAAGTTAATACATAGGATGAAATTAGACCCAAGCAGAATAATAGTACATACAAAATTTAAAAAAAACTCATTTCCTTCCTATACTCTCGCAATGAGAGAGATAATTGTTTCGATCAACAACAGACCGCTATTTAAAGAGAAGGTTGAGTTCTGGGAAGAGGTGAAAAATAATTTGTGAGTGTTATCATGGTATTATGCAAGTGTGGAAGAACAACAGATAAAAAATGTTCCCTGAAATGCATGGCTCTTCAAATGCCTTCATATTCTAAATATGGCATGTAACATCATAAAAATCGGGACGGATTTTTATGCCACATTTTGTGTAGTCCCATATATATATATTTATATATATTTCTGACCAAGACTGGACTAGTTTACCCTGTCGTTATGTTTGCCAAGCATTTGAGAAATTCGATATAAATTAACGATACATCATGATGTAACCGATCAAACATGCTCATACACTCCACAAATTAGAGAGTACGTCTAAATTTGATTTTAATCAAACTTGTTATACTTGTTATTTTCGAGAATTGGTGGTTTAATGTTCAATTACATTTCACTTTCATGCTGAATTCATTAAAATGGAAATACTAATTTTGAAATAATATAAACTACTTAATATATCATAAGGAGAGATTTATATCAAATCTAATTTATTTTGCGCTTTATTAGTCTTTCACCCCACACCCCCCCTCTCTCTCTCTCTCTCTCTCTCTTTCTCTCTTTCTTTCTCTCCTATTCCCTCTCTCCTTCTCTCTTTCTCGCTCGCTCTCCTTTCCTCCCTCTCCTTTCGCACTGTACCTCATCTTTCGCTATCTTTCTTTCTCTCTCTCCCCCTCCTGTTTCTTCCCACTCCCTCTCCCCATCTTCCCCCCTCTCTTTCTACCCCTCTATTCCTTTCCCCCCTCTCTTGTCTCCATATAATCCCCCCTCTCTGTCTCTCTTTCACTCTCTATGACATGATCATGGTAGGGCATGTGCCCCGCCCCCCCCCATTCGACACCACCAATTTTCATGATGCAAACTCTATATGGTTGAAACCAAGTTGTCTCCATATACTCCCTCCCTCTCTTTCTCTCTATTTCATTCTCTATGACATGATCAGGGTAGGGCATGTTCCCCGCCCCCTTCCCCCCATTCGACACCACCAATTTCCATAATGCAAACACCATATGGTTAAAACCCATTGAAACCAGTGATGCATCATGGATCCACGGTCCATCAAGGCCACTCATTTTGGCGGGAAAGAGCTAAATGTTGTGACTTTGTATAAAGTACATGATAAGGGCGATGGTAATAAATGTATAGGTTCAGGGTAAGTTAACAAAGTGCGAGTTAGTATGTGTCAGGAAGTGATTTGTGTAAGGAAGTGTTTCCATGTGTAAACATGCATTATGCAGGATATGCAGCTATTTTCGAAAGCTGCAAAGGAGAAGATTATTCTCTTGGGGTTATTATTCACTAACCGCAACAAAACAAATATATCATACTCACTCAATATTTTACAATTTTGATTTTAAATTTTAAGTTAAAAAGTTGTGTTTCATGTCGTTATTTTGTTTTACATGTTTATAAATATATTCATAATATGTACCGATATATTCTACCCTGGTTGTGCTAGCTCGGTCGGGGAGAAAGACCTGTTGTTTGTAATGATTAAGCAGTGTATATACCCATGCAACTAAGCAAGCAGTGTTTTCAATTATTTGTTTTTAATTCTCTTATGTATTATGAATATATTGTTTTAATTTGATGTATGTTGCCGAATTAATAATGAATAAATGAATAAATAGATAAATAGATAGATAAATCAATACAAATCAATTAATTGGTTATTAGACATTTGAATAAACACAATATTCATGATGAAGGCATCATGTCAAATCTTACAGGATTAGTTAGTGGGTAGTGTGACATGGACAATATTCCTTACAGCAAGGATGAGAAGTTTAGGTCATGTCAGATTGATACTCTAATAATAGTTAAAGAGAAGGTTGAGTTCTGGGAAGAGGTGAAAAATAATTTGTGAGCGTTATCATGCTTATTATGCAAGTGCATGTGGAAGAACATCAGATGAGACATTTTCCCTGAAAAGAATGGCTCTTCAAATGCCTTCATATTCAAAATATGTCATGTAAAATCGTAAAACTCGGGGGGGGGTGGGTGGGATTTTTACGCCACGTGTTCGTGTAGTCCCATATACATCTTTCTGTGGACAGTGTTTGTAACTTTACCAAGACTTGGCCAAACTTCTTATCATTTTGATGATTCTAGAACCTTGCAATACACACAAATTCTTATATGCTTGATGATAAACCTTTTCTGGTCGATTCCACACCGTTTCTTTCACAATGCAATCGCATGACCAGAACTCAACTTCATCTTTAACAACATTCTAGTCATATACAGTAGGCTTACGGGTGCACCCTGTGAGAGAGAGAGAGAGGGAGGATTGAGGGGTCCTGAAAAGGACTCTCGGTAGTCTTTCTTGACGGTGTGTAGTCCTGAAAAGGACTGTTGGTATAGTCTTGAAAAAGACTGTTGGTTATCTTTCTTAGCTTATAGTTCTAAGGAGAACTATAGCGCTTGGAGAGGATGAGTTGCGGGAGTGGCTCAACATTCTAGTCATAGAGTATCATCTCATGTTGTTAATATATGGCATGATTAATGATACGTTACTAATGCATGTTACACACGGGGTGACGTTCCCATTGCGCTACTCAAGTTTGTTAAAGACGAACGATAGAATGATTTCTTTTGTTATGAAAGTGATATCGGTGATTATCAATGAAAACAGATAAATAAGCAGTTTATATACTCTATTGTACTGTTGCCCACAAAGTTTGAATAGTTTTAAAACTTTTTCTTCATTAAATGATTGTAACAAAAATGATTAATTTTTGATGTACACAGTGTATATCTTACTAGAACTTAGCTGATCGTTGATCAATAAAGATTTTTTTCTGTCAATTAAAACAAGTATACATTTACAATCATCAGGACAAACTAATAAAAGGAAGACCAAGATTGACCAAGAGAGTTTTGCGAAGATGTATAATTTATCCATCGACAATAAATCATATCGTCAAAATCATCCATTAATACAAGTTTAAACAAATATTCAAACTTTATGGGCAACGATGTACAAATGCGGAATATCATCATTGTTATAAAATGTACATTTATTTGCATTAAAAAAGACCCTGAGACCCGTTACTCAAAGACTCTTTTCAATGAAAAGTGACAAAAATCAGTGACAAGTCTGCTGATAACCACTCAGAAGCAAGGATTTCACTTGCTTAGAACAAAGACTGTCATTGTCACTGATGACAAGTTTTGTGAAACGGGTCCCAGGGATTGTGCGACACAAAGGAGTATGAGTTCTTACCCCTCGTTAGCTGTCTGTGCCACGGATTCCGCCACGGTGCTATCTGTTTGGTTGCTGGAGTCCCCGCCTGGCATGTGAGTACTCATCACCCTCATATGATTCCTGACATGGAGGAAGATCTTGATATAGGAGTAACAGATGATGATGAGGGGGATAGGGAAGGACCCCATGGCCTGAACGAGCTGGTAGATGTCGTCCCGAGGGTGCGACGACGACTGACCGCATATGCTGTACTTCTCGTTGTAGCCCAGGCCGCCGACGTCGACAATGGGAAGGAAGACGACCAGGATGAAGGACACCACCCAGATCAAGATGATCCAGATGACGAGGTTGAGTTTGGTGAAGATTTTCTGGTAGACGTGAAGTGTCTTGGTGACTAGGATGCAGCGGTTAATGGCCACGGATGCGAGTGAGTAGAGACTCGCTACGATGCACAGGTACATGATTCCACCCGCTAAGGTACAAATATACGGATGAAGCGGCCATCCATTCCGACTGATCAGCGCCACGGCATTCCAGGGAATGGATAATGACGTCAGGAGATCGGCGACGGCGAGGTTGACCACGAATACGTTGGTGATCGTACGGAGCTTTCTCGAGATGGCGACGGCGATGAGGACGAGTGTGTTACCGATTGTACCGATGATGGATACGATGATGAATGTGATTGCCACCACAAGACGCTGGGCACGGTCGTCGAACTTGAATTCATCCTCGGAAGTCGGTATCGACGTCCCGTTCGTAGTCGTGATCATCTCGCTTAGCGTTGTAATATCGGTACTGCTCTCCATGTTCTTATTTCTTCAATTCAAATCTCATTGACTTCTTTTTAAAGTAAACCACTCAATCGATGTACTCCTTCAGATAAGCATCAATCTCTGTATCAACACTTCAAACGCCTGAAGTTGAAAATACACAATTGAAAAATGCGGAGATTGTCAAAACACTTATGTATCCCTTGATATCATCCGATCGATCATCTCAAAATCTGCACAGTTATAAAATTATCACGATAATTTATAATGGCACAGAACCTAAAGAGTGAACCGTCATTTAAACTCAGTTATTCTGTTATAGTCCACCAATGCGTCCCATTAAACCACCTGCTGCACAAACATAGTCAATAATCAGTTTCATAACGCAACAGTAAGAATTCAAGTAATGATAGAGGTACATTTATGATGATAATACATACCCGATGTTTCACGGTGGACGTTTTTTTTGCAATGAAGCTACTTTACATTATTGTCATCGCGAACCGCACGTTCTGATTCAGACGGAAAACCAAGAGACGCTGTCAAGGATATGATAGCGATTCACCTGAATAGCCTCATATTTAAACAACCTTGATTGAGGAACAATTTCAAAACCTTGTTTTATTAAAAATAGCACACGCAACAAAACCTGTTTCGCCAAATGCGTTATCCAAATATTGATGTAACGGTATAGCTCGATCAGAAGGTGTGTGACTGTTCTAAAATGATGGTTCTTCTTCGTAAATGACTGCGATCCGGTTATATACCGATATCCAAAGTTATCTGACAAACTGACGAAGAAAGTATCATTGGAATAAACCGATGATTCTATGTCACTAGCGTGCACTCAGTCGCTAATGTTCATTAGATATATCCAATCAAGAAGTTTCACAGTTCAGCGAAAATAAGAAAGCAATTTCCCTTCCCACATCTCATCAAGTTGGTGCACTTTAATTCAGTCGTGCAAATCGAAACAACTTGCTGATAAGTATCGGACACGTAACAGGAAACTGCACCGCGTATCAGTTCAAAGGATCTGTTGTTTATATATTTTATAACGAATAGGATATCATTGTTTTTGAGCTGTTTTTTCCCAATGAAATATAATAATTATTGCCAGAAACTGTAAGTAAGTAGCTATGAGCAGTCCTCAGAACGAGCATTATTATGATGACACAAAGAAAAGAAAGCTGACAAAAAACTTTCACTTTCGAATAAATGTATTGTAATAAATGTTAAATTATAAATAGACCCTACGCAAACATGACGATAGGACGCGAACTCGAAGAGGTATACAGCGTATTTTCTCTAGATAACATTTAATTGTTTCCTTTTAGGAAGTGCTGTCAAGAAAACAAAAATCACTACAAAAGGGTAACCCACCGTGCATCTAGAAATGAAAAGAACTTTCCGAAATAACACTGCTCCGGAGCTGATGTGCGTCAAAGTGCCACCCAGCCTAGCACAACAAAACAAACAATTATGAGAGGTATTCCACTTTAGATCTTGAAACGTTAGAAAGTTCTAGAAGTAATGTACATCCGGAGATGGATACAGTATTGGCACTTGATATTTCCTGAAATGAGTGAAATTGATGAGCACCCGATCGTTGATGAGACGAGATAAACCACACAAAACACCTTGACGCCATGCAGAGTGATGCCAATCTCAACTCCGGTAAATACCCGATGCACTTCCGATCAACCAACCACTTTCGAGTGGTGGTAGAGCGTGGGTGGTATGGGGCAGGTGACTTTTCGGTCACGAACTATACATAGTAGCGTGGAAACGCTCAATTACTCTGCTCGCGTATTCTACTTTTGTGTTGTTTTGGTTTACTTCATTTTTAATTCACACCACCGATTTCGTCGGCGGACATAATATGCTCAGTTCAATTAAGATGAAATGTGTGTGTGTGTTTGTATGTGTATGTATGTGTGTGCGTGGGGGGGGGGGGGGGCATCGTCTCTTGCCCGAAAATAGAAGTCAATATCATTTCTACACCAACTTACAAGCTCATGAACATTTTTTGCAAAGAGATATTGCTACTTTCCTCCCGTAATTATGATTATCATGAATGTAACCAATATCCACATAAACATCCACGTCAGAGGCAGCATGAGATTGTACCGATTACAATAATTAGAGAGTGAGACAAATTTAATTTTTCTACATTATATCTACCCTTTTCAGTCATCGAATCATTATTATATTTATCATCACCGTCGTCATTAACATCATCATCAACAGCACCACCATCATCATCATCATTATTATCGTCATTATTATCATTATTATCACCACCATTATTATCGTCATTATCATCATCATTATCACCATCATCCTCATCATCATCATCACCATCATCATCATCATCATCATCTTCATCATCACCATCACCGTTGTCATAGTCGCCGTTATTAAACAATAAAGACTGTTTTATGAATTGTATGATACATTGTACCTTATAACATTATCTCCCCTCTCTCTCCTCTCTCTTTCTCTATTTTTTTCTCTCTGCATTCTTTGTTAGGTATCATCCTCTTCTTTTGTTGGTCTTTCTTGTTGTTGTTGTTGTTGTTGTTGTTGTTTTGTTGTTGTACTTCTTCTTCTTGTTCTTGTTCTTGTTCTTGTTCTTCTTGTTCTTGTTCTTGTTCTTCTTGTTCTTCTTCTGTTGACTCTGCCTCCTTCACTCCTGAAGATTTAGGCAGATGTCTGTCCCTGGAAGCATCCCCTTTCCATGGAAACGCCTCTTACCACTTCACAATCATAACAATCGTCCATGAACAATGATATTGCAGGGTAAATAGAGCATGGTTGCTTTCCCAAACCGTGCATTATTGGATCAATTTTAAAACTGGACTGTTCTGACTGCCATAACAAAATACGGTTCACAATTAAAAGTAACAATAAAGTTGAGCACTTGAACTGGTATTGCGATTAAATTGAAAATGAAACTGTCTGAACACAATTGTGAAGGTTTGTTTATCTATTTCATAATGAATTTTGTACTGTGAAGGTTAACAAATAATAATTTAACAAAATTGACACAATCTCGCTATAAATCTCGAGCACCGCACACATGAATGTGTACATGGGACTATACACAGATGTTTGGTCCAAACCCTTCAGTTAGTTCTCATCATATCATTTCGAATATCAGGGCATTTAAAGAGCAATTTTTTACAGGGGATGATTATCCGCTATGATGTTCTTCCATCCTGATATACAAAGCAGGATATGCTCATAATTATTTTAAAAATCTTTACCAGAATTCAACCCTCTCTTCAATGCTCCTTGTTAACTGGAATGTTTCGGAAGGGGTTTCTATGCCTATCGGTATGTCTTGGATAATTTCTTCCTATGTATCAACCCCGATGTTCTATAGTAGTTGTCCAGTAAGTAATATATTTCCATATGATCGTTTTTTCCGCTGCTTAATAGGGCTTGATATTGTAGAATTTGTTTGGATTGTATTTGAACGCCCTAGACTCGCTTTCGGAGAAAGATCTGAAAAGAAAATGAATGTCATAAAGAGGTTGAGCTCACTCATGTCAAACAAAGAGTGGAGAATATGAACGGGCTTCTACGAGCAAAACATAACATAATACCACTCCCGGAAGATATCGTAATTATGAGAGAGTTGAGGAAGGACATCAAAACTTGAATGTCTTTTAAACGTGGACGTGAAGGAGAGAGAGAGAGAGAGAGAGAGAGAGGGAGAGAAAGAGGGAAGACAAAGAAAGAGGGGGAATTGAAGAAGAAGGTCAAAGGAAGAGAGAAGAGAGAGAGAGAGAGAGAGAGAGAGAGAGAGAGAGAGAGAGAGAGAGAGAGAGAGAGAGAGGTTGGGGAAGATAGAAGGGGTGACATGGGGCACGTGCCCACCCCGCCCCGCCCCCGCCCCCGCCCCGCTCCATCGACTGGCGAAGGGAGAATAATGCGAATGAGAGGACTGTGAGAAAGACAACAATGAAAAGAAGATAATACTACCCACCTCTCGAATACCTATACACCACTATCTCTATTTGCATTATTGGCATTATAATTATGACCCATGCTACGCCATTGCAACTAACCATTCATCGTCCATCTACATTACAATGATCAAAACAGTGTTAGAATCGATCAAAGATGGGTCATTAAAACCATCTGTGAAATATATATAAAGGAATGTGTAAGTATGAAAAGTGAAAAACATATTCCGTGGATGCTTAGAGCTTGAGCTATCATGGTTCATGATGTCCTAAAACTATGACGATTTTAGAAGTAGTATGTTTTTATAAACGGTAATTAACTGTAACCGAAAGTGAACTCGGGCACTGTTTCAGTCATCTGATTTCCGTCGTTTCTTCCCTATAATCATCAAATACATAGCAATTAAATAAATGTGTCGACTAGTATGTTTATAACGGTAGAAAACTGTACCGAAAGTGAATCCGAGTACTTTCTTAGAAAAGTTACAGCTGGGTTTTTTCGCGTGAGATAGTGTTAAAGTCAACAAGAAATGTAACCCATATCATCGTTTTTTTCCTTTACCTCCGTTTCATCAGAGTGACCACAACAATTTGCCTGTAATTATCGGATATATTCTAATTGGGTTTTTTTTAAGGAAAGGGGCTCATTATTTATTGCACGCGTGTTATGTACTAACAAATATTACGTAATATCTATTGTTAGGGATTTATGTTCTTGTGATGATAATGATGTTTGATTTTTAATTCATTGTTCGATGGTAACGCAACTAGGCATGTTCTGAAAATCCAAATTTAATTTCATCCTATAAAATGAAGATGCATATCGGGTTTTCTTGCTTGAACTAATGTAATATTTGAAGTTCCTAATTTCCTTTATGCTAAAGAATATGGAAAAGTTAATTGTCTTAAGCCTACCTGTCATTACCGTCCTAATACTGCGACGTGATGCAGTCAAAATTGCACATACTTGCGCGTTTTGGTGTAGCTGTGAAGTTACTTTTACCGAATCATCGATCTTTTAAACTTAAACACGCCTTGAATACTATTAGTCAATCAATCAATCAACCAATTGGTTCAATTCAATGGACCGGTTTGCTAACATATTCAAATATATGGATGTTTAATTCCTGGGAACCTAGTGACGAAGAATACCATTTACCCCAAAGTTATTTGGAATCCAGTATGCATACATTATTTGTTGCCATGGCGGGCAATTCTCGGACAAGCATATGGTTTGTTAAGAATAATCTTTGTTTAAAAAGTTTGCATACAATTTGAACATGTTATTAAACTGGTTCAAAGTAACCCTCTCACTCACTCAATCAACCAATTAGTCAATGATTGAACATACCAATCAATCACTCAAACAATCAATTTTGCAATCAATAAACTAGTCAATAAAATGCCACCAATCCACATGATAAATCAACCAACTACTGCTCTCAAGACCGACCGCCCAAAAGACGGACGGCCCACAAGACAGACCGCTCACAAGACATACGTGTTAAAGGGTTCATCAGTCTGACCTTGTTGGTCTTGTGGGCGTGCGGTCTACTTGGATGGTCCGCAACTGACCGATTCTCACTCGATCTTTAAATCATTCAGTCAGTCCACCCATCAAGCATTCACTCACTTAATCAATCAGTCAATCGATTAATCACTCACTTAATCAACCAGTATTTCATTCACTCAACCAGTCATTCACTCGTTCATTCACTCAACCAGTCATTCACTCGTTCATTCATTCAATCAGTCACTCACTCACTCAATCAATCAATCAATCAATCAGTCACTCAATCATACCTTCTATCAGATCAAATTTCCAGAAAACAGAAAAATTATCTAGTACGGAGAAACATTCAAAATCGTGCCTAATTTTAAAGATGAAATAACGACTCACTCACAATAAACAATATATCTGCCTAAGAAACCGGAGTACATTTCATATATTACAGTGGGACAACTATGTTGCACAAGCTCCCTCTCGAGTCAAAACTGCTGGCCGTTTTTCCTTTTAACACACGTGCCCCCCCCCCCAACGCTATAAAATTGAATAAATTACATTTTTAGGGGATGAACGTCAGATAATGTGACTTGTGTCCCATCCCCCCTCCCCAGAAAATCATCCCGGATACACCACAATGTTTATATCCTTTTTTTGCAAATACATGCAATAGTCACATCTATTGAGATGTTGTATTAATAACTACAGTCTTTTTTAATTCAATTCATCTCACTATTGCAATAAAAACTACGTACGTACATGTTCATGGAATTAAACATTGTTACATGAACATATTAAAATACATACATACATACATTGGAACATGAATATCAAAGTTGCTTGGTAGGTTGGCAGCCAGAAAAGAAGTGACCCTTATAAGAGGCCGACCTAAAGAAGATATAATCAACAGTTAAGTGTATGTACCAGCTTACAATGACATGACAAAACACAACATTCCTCACAGATCAATGACATTTTTATTAAAAAAATTGAAATGTGAATAAGACTTTGTAAGAATATATTTCAGTTGACCCTTTGTTTAACCTTTTATGTTTGTTAAGTTCTTCAGTTTGAAATCTTGGTTTATCATTATCTTGGTTTGAAGCCGAGTTGGTAAACCCTCTGAAATATATTTCTTTGAAGCCCCTCTGCACTAGTTTGGCATGCAGGAATTAGACCTCCCTGCAAGGTCACTGACAGGTAGTTATCTCATCAAATCAGCTCTCAATTAACATAAGAAAAGGGCATCGTGGAGGATCAACCGATACCGCTTAGGCATTGTTGGTTGGGAGAGGGCGCAAGTAGCCATAAGTAGAAGCTTTAACAGACGGTGAACTTATACTTATGACAGTTTCGTGGAACGATGCCCAGACCGACCAGAGACCGAACATGAAATTGCATTTATTCACAGAATGAAAAAGAAATGGTCGATTTGGAAAGATCTGTGAGGTTGTTTTGGAGTCGGTTCGGTGGTGTGACTGCAGTATCACGGTCTTATATGGGGGCGAAATAACATAGGGTGCCCACTGCAGGGTCACTGTTTGTAAATGTAGGGAGGAAAACGAGTTTATTATTGACAATAAAAACAAATTCAACTGCCAGTAACCGATGTCCACTGCTTGATACTAACCAAGAGATCAAATATAACAATAAGCATTGCATAATTATCATTGTGCCAGTTTAGCGATTTCGGTTCTCCAAAAATCTTCATATGTTTAAAATTAAGAATCAGATGTACATGTATAATATCATAATCGTTATAGAAAAATTCCTATTTCTAATTCTATATTATTAAGTATAAGCAAACAAAAATGAAAACCCAAACAAAACGAAATATCTAAAAAAAATTAAATGAATTGGTACTTTCAGACAAGTTCCATGCCATTTCTCCCGTGTACTTTGCCAGACGAAAAGTTGACATAGAAAACATAAAACAAGATATCAAAGTCCTTCAGATGAAAACATAAACCCTTATTTTGATATTTACTTTTACAATACTTTTGCAACATACATTATACAGTCAAAAGGTCGATTTTCAAATATCTTACACTCTTAAATAAACAACTAGAGAAATTGTAAAAAGTAAAATTAATATGAAAAAGTGGGATTTCCTCTCATAATTCTGCATAAAATGTAAACATTAATTTGAATAATCGTAAAGTGATCTGAAATGCATCGTTGAAAATGAAGGAAAGATATTCAATGTATTTAACAGCAATGCATAAACAATTAAATCACTAAGATGATTATCGCCTACTGTAAAACAATCTTTGAGTCCACAATAATAAATTAGTGTCTACACCATTTATACATATATATAGCAGCTACCAAAAGAGTCACATTCACATGTAGAGTCATCATCAACAACTCAATCTTAAAAGATAAACACGTCAGAATTGTATTAAAAAAGAGCTTACTTTTTATGTTTTTAGAAAGGTTCCATCATTCAAATTCATCTACTTGATCTAGGAATTTCGTTTCTGAAACAGTCACCAAAACTCAATTTCACCTAGTTCAAGATATAACTGATTCCACTGGATATTATATACAATTTATGAAGTCACAGAAACACAAGGCATGTTAGAAGCCTTTGAAAACACGGGTCGGGAGGGGTCATCTTTCAACGAAATATTATGTTACTCTTTTTACCAGAAATAAAAAAAGGTCCGGACGCACCCCCCCCCCCGTCTTCCTATTCGCCTGAAAACAGTGATATCATACAATGTTAGTAATGAGGAGTCATCTGTTTATTTCAGTGGAATATATAAAGGATATCAGGAGTGCAGAGAGCGATCTCTCCTGATCGGTACTGACTGAGATAGTACCAATTTTTCTCATGCTTTTCAATCTTGTAATCAATGACGAGGTTCCGGACATGCTTCAGCTCGCTAGTGTACTCATCAATGCTGACTAAACCTACATCGTGCTTTAACTTGGCTATCAGGATTGTATTCCATTGAGACACAGCGGCATATGGGAAATAACCAAATTCCGTTAATTGATACTTTACAACACCTTGTTTGTCAATCAATCGTATTGTATTGCCAGACGCAGTGATCATGTAATCATTATAACAAGTAATTAATTTGCACAGGTTCATACCCATACCATGGTATCTCCCTGATCGCCCTTCCCCCTGCTGGTGAGAATACCTGGATCTTCTGTGCTTTCCTGTAGCTAACATAGACATGATCATCACCGTCTACAGCGAGGTTAGCCCATCCACCCTCATCGTGAATCAGAGTCTCAAACATTACATTCAACTTTGTTTGCTCTAGTGTGTACAGTGTGATTTTGTTTGAGCCATCAAGTATGACATACCGACCATCAGAGAGGAACCCTACTCCACGAATCATCACATGTTTAAGAACTGTCTGCTGGATCTGGCCATCAACAGAGAAAATATTCACACCACCTGTACTACATCCCACTGCCATCCTACCGTCTGGTGTACCAACCATGGCATTCATTCTACCCTTATTAGGCAAAACGATGTTCTTTGCAACTGCATATACTATCTTACCGAGAGTTAGCTCGTCCATTCCAACGTTTCTCTTAAAAGTGACACTTTTCCCTTTCTTGCTCGATTGCATCGGCTGCTTGTAGTCAGGATCTTCTTGTTTCAAGGCCTCTTGCAAGTCTTGACATAGAGTGTCGTGTGCAGCCAAAGCATCCATATCTAACGGTATCTTTGTCCTATTGGTTACCACGTCAGCTATGGTGGTCAAGTGAGTGATGTGCTCCTGAGCCGATTTTTTCATTTCGTCCAGTTCTTTCTCTACTCCTTCGGTCTTACCCTTGACTTCGCCAATGAGACTTTCTTTCTTCTTTGTCAACTGCTTGACTGATTCGTCATATGCATTGTTAATATCATCTGTACACTGCTTCTGTACATTGCTCACACGCTCCTTCTGTTCATCAATGAAATCAATATATTTCTGAAAGCAAGATCGTTTCTTTTCCGCCTTCGATTTGAGGACCTCGATATTCTCCATATGGCTGCTTTCATAAAGAGCTGCCTCGATGATCCGATGTCCTTCGTCTTTATGCTCCATGACAACACACCTGAAGCAGGCAAATCTCCTGCAGTCGGAACAGAAGCACTCCTCATCCTCTTTTGGGTGTTTCCTGCACTTACGGTATCTACGTACTGACACCTTTCCTGATTCGATCTCACTTATGGCTAAGACCTCATGACTGATGAAGTCTCGCCACAGAGAGTGTGTGTTGTGACAAGTGATACAGAGGTACTTGTCACAGTCTTGACAGTAGACAACAGCTTGCGTCCTGTCCTCGGATTTACAAATCGAGCAAAAGTGATAGTGATTTTTCACGTCCTCTATGAGAGACTTCAAAGCTAGATTTGCCGGTAATTTGCTGACATCATGGTTTGGGACCTGGGTTTCAGCTCTGCAGACAGGGCATCGGAGCATCTGGTCGTTACCATGGCATTCCAAGAGGTTGTCTAGACAGGTCTTGCAGTAGGTGTGAGAACAAGACAGAATCTTTGGATCGGTGAAGGTATTCAGACATACAGGACACTCCAGACTCTGAGCAATGACATTCTTTAATGAATCAGCCATGATTCGAATTCTACATGAAAACGGGATAAAAGAAAACGACAAAAAAATAATGATTATTGTAGCTTTGATTCCCTCACGTCTTTTTCCTGCAGAATATAACGCGTACAAAATATGATATTCCGTTTTATCATAATAAAAAAAATATTATGTTATTCATCAACTGAATGAAGTAATACAAACTGATTTTAAAAGAACGTTTTTCCATTGTCGCTCTTCAGTCAATGTACATTATAATGGGGAAAATTATGATGATAGTAATAACAATGTAACTGTGTCACATTATGTCAGATGCGTATGGAAGACCACTACATTGGAAATACGCCAAGAAAAAGGATTAACATTGATAGTATACGTTTTAAACATAAGGGACTGTTAGATTCTGCACGACGAGAACGCGGACTGCCCTTTTAAGGCAATGTGACGCCACTGCCAGTGCCTTAAAAGGACGTCACATTGCCTTAAAAGGGCAGTCCACGTTCTCGTCGTGCAGAATCTCAAAGTCCTTATTGACTGCTACAAGACATGCCTCCGCTATGGGATAATTGTCTGCATCAAAACTTTCTCGTTAAACCAATAGGATAAATCCCAATGATCGTTATCGATAGCATTTCTAGAGAAGTATCAAAAGCAGTACTCTATATTCATGTACCCATGCACATTGGAATATGTTACTTCAAAAGAAATCAGCATGTTGTAGAGGGGAAATTATATAGACTGCTCTGTTTTGTCAGAATCACCAGCTGATATGTTAGGTATGTTAAGAATCACATTAACCTGAATTATTTACCATGTACATTCATATTTATATAACATGTAAGAATAATATTTCATGACAAATTTGTAATTTAAATCACTGCAACATACCAAAATCTTCGCTTTTCCACAGGACAAAGGAACAGAGAGAAGATATACTTGGTTTTTCTTGATCTTAGCTCAATCACTCTCCATTTATCCCCTGAAGACATCTAGGCTGAGACCCACCTATTCAGCCGGAGAAAAATGATGATTTTATGAACCAGATACAAACAAAGCCTCAAAAGTATCTAGGCGTCAGCCTAATAAAGTTATAAACAACAATATAAAAACGAAAATATTGCGTATTGTCGCTACATTTCATCTTCCTTCATTAAATATCGACCAGTCTAGATGTTAAATCAAATCAGTAAGCATGTACAATTTATACTTTTACATTGTAATGTCCAATGATCATGAGTGGTACTATAAACGTGTATGTATTTAGACTCTTAGTTTATTGTAAGTGACTGGGAATTCCCACTAACCTTTGGCAGACAACTAAACTAAGATCGTAAGCTGAAATGTTTACCATGTGTATTCATATCTACAGGCGCGTACGCAGGGGGGTGGTTTTGGGGTTAAACCCCCCTCGAGTTTTTTTATGTGTATGTTTTTTGTATGTTATTTTGAAAAACCCTCCCCTTTAGATTTTAGATTTTTTTTTTTTTTAAATAAATAAATAAATTAAATAAAAAAAAAATAAAAAAAACATAATAATAATAAAAAAAAATTGCCTATAGGTGACCTTAAAAAGGTGACCTTACCCCCCCCCCCAACTGGACAAAATTTCAATTTTTCAAATTTCGAGACCCCCCCAAAAAAAAGCGACAGACAGTACTTCCGGGTTCATGATCAAGTACATGAAAAATCTGTTTTGTTAAGGGGTGCAGCCTGTCAGTTCTTCATGCTTTACCAAACGTAGTCTAAACATACACCATTCTCATATTGCCTTAGCTCAATCGCTCTCCTTTAATCACCTCCAAGAATCTAGACCACTCAATTCAACAGTATGTAGAGTTCAGACCCTGTCTAACTATTTCAGTCTCAGGAAAATTATGATTTTATAAACCAGATAAAAACATAGCCTCAAAGTTTTCGGGAGTCTGCCTGATATAGTATTTATACGCCAATGTAAAACAGAAATATTCAAAAATGTAACCGAATTACTTTTAGTAATGACAGAGACATATTAATTCACTCACCTCTTTATCTGTAACTACGAATCGGTCTAGGTGTTATCATATAAAATCAATAAACATGACTGTTCTTTGCCTTTACAATGGACTGGTACACTGATCATAAACAGTGCTTTATACATGTATGTATTCAGTTTGTCAATCTATGTATAGGTACTGGGAAAACCCAACAACCTTTGACAGTACAGACAAGCAGATTGAGTTTTCAATCGTCCAAAAAGTAATCGCCGAATAAAAAACTCGATCCCTGAGATGGCGCTAAACATGCTAAACACATCCGGAAAAAAAAGAACAGCTAAAAAGATATTTAATCTTAGATTTTTAAATTTATTGGACTATTCATCATGATATGGTTCAGAGAGCTAAGAGGTTGATCGATTAATTATAGTTTTAGGTTGTGTACAGGCTGTTTTGCCATAATTTCATAGGCCTACAAGACATGGGGGTAATGGTGCTGCGCCCCCCCCCCCCCCCACCCCTTCCCCACCCCGGATTTTAAACTTTCATATAATGTATTTCGGGCAATGGCACATTGATTCTGGCGGTTGCGTAATATTCCAACAGCCTATCATCCTATTTATATGTTCATATTTTAGTTGTATGTCCTGATATATATATATAAAAAAAGGGTCAGTTTCATGCAGAGTAACGTTTATTTTCTTTCATTCCTTCATTATTTTTTCACGTCAACAAAATGAAATTTTTCAAGTGAAAAAAAATGTAAATACATTATGTCAAAATCCTTTTTAAGAGCGTGTTAAAGGACAAGTCCATTCCAAAAATAAATTACTTTCAATAGAAGCAAAAAAAGTTTGAGCAATATCGGATAACTAATACGTTTATTTTGATGTTATCAAAATAAACCCAATTGTAATAGAATGCAATAGTGTAGGCCGGAAATATGCGGCAAGCCGGTGACTACACACGATAGCGCGCCTCTTTTGTAAAATGATTTTGAGGTCAATAACCGAATGTTTCCCAGCAGGTCGGCAAATATCAAACATAGGCGCATCTCTTTGTAACCTACATTGAGGTCACAAAGCCGAATCTTTACCACGCGTGTTTTGTAAATATCAATGATAGGCGCGCTTTTGTAATACATATCGGGGTCGCAAGGCAAGTGTTTCCCACGACGTGTATTTTTACTAATCAATGGGTCATTCTCAGCTAATACTTCGTTGAGTTGGTCGTGTTTTATTGGACTCAGAATTATACATGCTAATTGTACACAGGTTGTCGCTGTTGAACTGACTGCACCGGTTAGTTTCTATTATCACTGGGTTTCACACCAATACGCTGGATATTCGGAATTGAACAGAGAGACAGCTACACGGGATATAAGGATTAAACGGTGGAAAAGTTACACTGGATATCTGGAATTAAACAGAGGAAGAGTTACACTGGATAATTGGATCTAAAAAGAGAAAATGTTACACTAGATATTTGGAATTGAACAGAGGAGTAATTGTATTGGATAGCTGGAATTAAATATTGGAGGAAGTTACATCGGAGCTCGGATTGCGGCATAGTCGTCTAACTGGCTCGTCTGTATTGTGTGGACGACAAGATGGGGAAGTCTAAGGCGTCTACGGGACGGAAGGGCAAAGGAAAGCGGAGAGAGCCAGCGCTTCAAAACAGTGACCCGATCAGGGGGACAACGCCAGCTCCACATTCTCGAGTGACGATACGCGGCTCGAGGAGTAACCCAGCCGCTTCGGCAGGGCGGGAGCGCCAAGGAGACCAGACTCCGACGGGGGGGCCAACATCACAGAATCCCTAGAAACGGCGAATCAACCGTCTATTGTCCATCCTCCACCCGGTGAGTTACCTAGCCACGGGCTAGTCTCATCTTCTAATTCCGCAAACATATCATTCCCTAAGGAGATGGGGGAGATGGCGCAGTGAGACATATAAACTTTATGTCCGTTAATAGGTTGGACAAGGTCGGGTTGATTGTAGGCAAAGGAGATAGGGGCCTACTTATAAGGTGTGGATATAATTATGGAGAGTTAGTACGATTGCTTACTTTGTTTTCAATAATTTTAACCAGCTCAGTGGGATGTTATTCATTTTCGTATAACCACGCACTTATTTGGGGTTAGTCGTGTTTCGACAAGTGATGTTGTACAATATTTAGTATGTTAAACAAGTTCGGTACGATACTAGAAATGCAATCGTGTCAGAACGATGTGCGTGCAATGACGCCTTGTTTGTACATGTCAAACGAAAGAGCATCTCTCGGACTAGTTACGCAGAGTATGAAGTAGCATTTAATGTCATGCTTGACCGATTTTAAAAAAAGTCCGGCTTCTTGATGCTCTGCACTTGGCCACTTAGAATGTGCCTGTAAAATTTCAAGAAAAATAAAGATCGTTCTGGGGTCCAGAAGCGTGAACCCGATTTGCCCCATAGACAATGCGTGTAATGCATGGGCGGAAAACGTACAGGATCTGTATTATGACCGGACTTTAATTGTTTGTTTTTTCTCTCTCTTTATGTCACTTTATCTGACGTATTTGGTATCATGGGAAAGAGAATTTCATGGTTGTTATTGTAAACAATTTTTTTTTGTTCTATGGTAATCCTATCGAAACACGTGATGTAAAATAGATTTATAGGACAAAATTGCGTCTTCAATGACCCCCTTGACCAATTTTAAAAATCCGGCCAAGAGGTGCCCTGCGTATTGCAACTCGGAATGTCACTGCAAATTTTCAAGAAAAAAAAAAAAGGGACGTTTAGGGGGTGAAAAGCAGTCTGAAAAAATGACGCCATAGCCGATACGTGTTATATTATTGGGCGGAACCTCGGCGGAATTCGTATAATGACCCTTGTTCAAATGTGATTTACTCAAAAATTTCTGTGTGAACATATACCATACTTGGTATCATTCGAAAGGGCACTTCATTGCGGTCAGTTTGACACCGTTGTCATCTGCGCGCAATGTACTGCACGCATTAAAGGCGCTATTACGTAACGCATAGTAAATTCATCATTTTTGGCGATAACTTTGCGCTGACGTATTCGAATTTTACCAAACTTGGCAGACAGTTGTCACGTATATGGATACATGTGTCTGCCAAGTTTCATTGATGTAGGTATAAAGATCGTTATTTTAGAGTAAGTTGAAGTTATTTCGGAATTTTCTCGAAAATGGCGAATTTGGAAGGCAATTTTTCTCAAATTTGGTCAGTGTTAGGGTATATAATTTTGTATATGGCTGGAAAGGACATATCTTCAAGTATCTAAATCCAAAAAAGGGTACGGGTTTGCCAAGCCATTATGAAGATACGGCCACAGAGAGAAAGCCAATTCCTAAAACTTTAGAGGGCGCTATTTATGTTGTGCAAAGCCATTGGAGCGTGAAATTTGGCACGGCTATGTGCAATTATGAGATAAAGATACTGTGAGATTTAAAAACAAAACGGAATTTATATGAGAAAGTTATGGCAGTTTTAGATTGTTTAGGGGTCCATTTTTCAAGAACTTGAGATTTATTGGAGGAGTCGGTTTTAGATTTGAAATTCGAGTATGAAGATGGCATTGTGAAGGTCAAGTCATCCGTCGCAGATGAAAGGACATCTCTCAGACTATCTAGAGGAGTTTGTTAAAAGTTTGTAGGATCTAGGATAGTGGGGATGGGAAGGAAGATATAACGGCCTTAAAATGGACCAGAAACGGACAAAATGGCGCCTGGACGGTCATGCATGGGTGATTTCCAAAATCGAAGAAAGTAGTGACCTTGATGAGATGTTAGAGACTATGCCTATGAAATTTGAAAGGAAAAAGACATGAGGAAAGCACCTAACTAGGAATCACAAACACTACGTGCAAAACGAATGCGATTTCCTGACGATAAGGATAAGGGAAAGGAGAATATTAATGGGGCAGAATGTGAGCGAAAACAAGGCTATGACGAAGGTCGTCATTGCGATAATATGCTATATAGAATTGAATTTGCTTCGCTTATGTA